TAGAGGGCAGAGGAATAGAAGGGGGGGGGGGGCAAAGAAGGAAGAAGGGGGGGGGGGGGTACGTGTTTAGATTACAGATTCTGATACATTTATCCAAGGATAGAGGAACCAAAAAAGGGATAGAACAAGTGCTCAAGAAGAGGGGAGATATCAGGAAGTTAAACTAAACCGGATATAGAAGACGGAGAAGGTTGGAGAAGGAAGGAAAAGGGGATATAAACTAAACCGGATATAGAAGACGGAGAAGGTTTAAGAAGGAAGGAAATGTGATCTAAACTAAACCGGATATAGAAGGAGGAGAAGGTTGAAGAAGGAAGAAAAATGGGATGTAAACCAAACCGGATATAAAAGGAGGAGAAGATAGTAAAAGGAGGGAAAAAAAGCTTAAACCGGATAAAGAAGGAGGAGAAGTTTGGAGAAGGAAGGAAAAGGGGATATAAACTAAACCGGATATAATTGGAAAGTGGGAAAAGAAAGAAAAATGGGATATAATCTAAATAGGATATAGAAGGAGGAGAAGGTTGAAGAAGGAAAGAAAAGAAGATATAAACTAAACCGGATATAGTTTTTTAACATTAAAAATAGTTTTTTTCTAATGTGATTTTTGTCTGTGCTTAAAGTTAATATATTAAGTAATGAGAAAAAATACAAAGTTTAAATATTTGAGACTCCGAATTGTAAAATATTTGAAATTGCATGGAACACCCAGCATTTATATAGTCTAAAAACATAATGATTATTAACCAAAGTGCATATATTGAAATAAATCATTGAAAATTTCTCATTAAAATTAGTTTTCTCAGGTTGAGGTTGAAGGAAGAAAAAGGGAGCGTGACTTGGGCTGGTTAATGTATGGCAGGAATTATATAAAAAGAGCCAGGTGAAGTTACTGCCTATTTAAGCAGTCCCTTTTCCCAGCCGATATCATTAATATTTTTCTTACCAGTGGATCTGGTGTCAATTTCAGGTGTTTTTACAACTGCCTGAGACACTAGACTTCTTATCATTAATGTTTTATCATTAGTCTAGATATATTTAGCTTTAGTCAGGTTGGTCTAAATACTTTGAATTCGTAGCGCTTCTCTAGTATTTAGCTTAATCAGGTTGGTTAAAATACTCGAAATTCGTTGCGCTTTGCGTCAAAACTTTGGATATATTTATTCTTTTAGGTAACGTTGGTTTAAATGATTAAAATTCGTTGCCCTTCGTCTCAAAAAGTTTGATATATTAAGCTTTAGAAAGGTTAGTTTAAATACTGCAAATTCGCAGCGCTTAAAATCAAGAGTTTGGACGTAGTTGGCTTAGTCAGGTTGGTTTTAATATTTATAACTCGCAGCGTTTCGTATCAAGATTTTGAACGTATTTAGCTTTAAGTCAGGTTGGTCCAAATACTTTCGCAGCGCTTCTTATCAAGAGTTTGGACGTAGTTAGCTTAAGAAGGTTGGTTAAAATAGGTGGAATTCACGGCGCTTCGTATCAATAGTTTGAATATATTAAGCTTTATTCAGATTGGTTGGGTAAGAAGGGGTGTGAAGGTGGAGTACATGGGGGGGGAATCGGGGTTAAGATAGATAGATAGATAGATAGATAGATAGATAGATAGATAGATAGATAGATAGATAGATAGATAGATAGATAGATAGATAGATAGATTGATTGATGGATAGCTAGATAGATAGATAGATATATGCCTAATAAATATGGAAAAGTAATAATGAGAAGGAACAATACTAAAGAAATATTATCTTTCTTTTCAAGGAGTTGGTGAATAGAGGGAAATATAGATAGATAGATAGATAGATAGATAGATAGATAATTAATACCTAGATAGATAAATAGATAGTTTGATTAATGTTGAAAGATGAATAGATAGATAAATAGATAGATATATATATGTAATAGAGAGATAGGGAAATTGATATAAGATAGATGAACGTTAAACAAAGATGAATAGATAATAGATAATAAATTTCAAAATAGATTATTAAATAATTAGAATATTCAATAAAAAGTATTGTCAAATTGATCGATAGGAAATATCTCCTTTTTTGTCAACATGGCTGAACAGAAAATTGTCTAACAATAATTATCCTACACAATTTTTTAATAAAGGGAAAAAATGTTTTTTTTTTATAATAAACTATTAAGATTAATATATATAATATATAGTATGTAAGTCTTCAATAGGAAATATTTTTTGAATTCTCCAATTTGTGTTGTTTACTCTACACAATACACATATCTATTACATGAATGATCATATTGTTTAATATATATTTTATATAATGAGGAAGTAAGCAAAAAACAGATCTTTGTTTCTTTTATTAGATCAAGCGAATATCCACATAGTGTATTCGATTATATACATACAGTACAGGGTGTCCCGGAAAAAGGGTGATTCCGGTTTTGGAGTTTTTTTTACATTTAAAACCGTCAGTTTGATGCCTCAATGTTTTTAATCTTAAGCTTTATTTAAAAAATGATAAAGTAATGAAAAACATAAAATTCCGAAGATTTCAATTGGTAAATTTAAAAATTCGAAAAAAATAAATCTTGAAAATACATATTTATAGTTGAAGACACTTTTTAGATTAGAACATTTTATAGACTTGAAATAAAGCGGAGTTTAATAAATCTTTACATTTATTATTAAGACAACATTTAGAAATTACTTTTTTTAGTACTCAATAAACTTGAAATTACATTTAAAAAATATTAGTTATTAGTCCTAGTCGAAAATTATTTTCAGAATTATAGCTCGATTAGATTGAAAATGTACAGATATTGATAAATCTGTTCATTCAAGATAATATTAAGAAATTACTTTTTTGTATGCAATAAACTTTTAAAACAGCTTTCGAAAGATAGAAGCGTGAAAGTAAAATGAAAAAATACAAAAATTAATGAATAATATGACAGGAGACCAAAGAAGAAAAGATAAAAAAAAGAAGAAAGGATACCAAAGAAGAAAAGAAAATAAGAGAAAAAAGTAAGAAGAAAAAGAAGAAGAAAGTATAAAAGATACATAGATATAAAAGAAGATACATAGATATAAAAGAAGAAAGATGAAGAATGAAGGAAAACGAAATAAATCAGATAAAGAAAACACAAAGAAAAGACTATATATAAAAAAATACGAAGATGATATAATAAAAAAATAAGATTTGTATTTTTCTGCGAATACCTCATGTAACAATTCTGTGAAGTTTTCTAATTACAAAAATATATATTTGGGTGTGAAGAGTTCAAGTATAAATTGTCTGATCTGGATGAAGTAGATATAAATGTATAAAATGGTTGGAATATTATTAATGAGGAGGAGAACTAAAGACCAGATCCCGGGATAAAAACCTGAAACCCCGTCGTTTCAAGTATCAACGCCGCAATCCGAAACATCAGGGGAAATTAAATATACCGCCCCTGGAATCCGGAACATCATAGGAAATTAAATATACCACCCCTGGAATCCGGAACATCATAGGAAATTAAATATACCACCCCTGGAATCGGGAACCTTATGGGAAACTGAACAATGAACATACCACCCTTGGAATCGGGAACCTCATTGGAAACTGAAAATACCACCCTTGGAATCCGGAACCTCATGGGAAACTGACCATACCACCCTTGGTATCGGGAACCTCATGAGAAACTGAACATATCAGCTCCGGAATCAGGAACTTCATGGAAAACTGAACATATCACCCCTGGAATCCGGAACTTCGTGGAAAACTGAACATACCACCCCCGGAATCCGGAACTTCATGGGAAACTGAACATACCCCTATAAAAAAGACTGGATTTTTTTTTTGCAAATATCAGTAAAAAACTGGATCTTTTTGCAAATTTGCATTTTTTATTTTAGACTTTAGAAAAAAACTTATAATCGGTTCAAAAAAAATTAAGAGCATTCTTCTATATAGTTTCTTAAACTCTCCTATCTCTTAAAATTTCTAAGATTCGACTTAAAGTAAGAACACAGAAAATCATTTATATATTTTTATTTTAAATGTAAATTTTCAAACGCTAGTAAATCCATCATTTTTAAAATATCTAAGTTTTCTAAAAAGCTAATGAAAGATGATATTGACACTATTGATAATTTATTGAAACATAAATAAACAAATAAAAACAAATTTAAGATTTTTTCAATACGGGTTTGAAATGACTACCATCTTCTTGGTAGCAAATTTTGACTTTGTCTATGAACTTGTCAGCGACACGAAGCAGGGTATCTCTTGGAATCTGAATGGATATTTATCAACAAACATCTTCAGCTCAGGAATTGCTTTAGGTTTCCTCTGATCGACTTCGGCCTCTGTAGCCCCGCAAAAGTAAAAATCCAAAAGTCAAAAATGTATTTTACGCTTTGAAGGAATTTGCAGACATATCTTTTTATATTTTGCGGATATTCATGATGGATTATCAAAAGTGGCAATCTCATTTTTCATTATGTTTTAAGAGATCTTAGATATCTCTAAAAATGATGAAGCTATTACCGTTTGTAAATTTACTTTTTAAAAAACAGTCTGAAGCTTATTCTTAAGTCATGTACTCTAATCTAACTCTATCTGATAAAAAGATTACCAGCACCAACTCTGTAAACCCTTTCTATCCATGTATAATTATAAATAGTGTGCAGCCACCTCGTTAACACGGGGAGAACCTAATTCTAGCATAGTTTACGTGCTCAACCACCTTTTTATGCGCGTTTCACTGTGTTTCATGCGCGCTCATTAGCAAGGTTAATATATGACAGGACTAAGGCGTAGAGAGGAGAATTCACAGGCGCTAGCGTAAGAAGTTGGTTAATGAGCTTGAGCACGATATTGAAATATTCAAACATTTATCAAAGCAGAATTAGAATTAGAATTAGTAAATATTGAGAAAATTGAAATTGAGGAGTAGTACAGAGGTGTGTTGGAATAGTGTAGAGATATGTAGGAGTACTACAGAGGTATGGAGGAGTACTACAGAGGTATGTTTGAGTACTAAGAGGTATGGAGGAGTACTATAGAGGTATGGAGGAGTACTACAGAGGTATGGAGGAGTACTACAGCGGCATGTTTAAGTACTACAGAGGTATGGAGGAGTACTACAGAGGTATGGAGGAGTACTACAGCGGCATGTTTAAGTACTACTACAGAGGTATGGAGGAGTACTACAGAGGTATGGAGGAGTACTACAGAGGTATGAAGGAGCAGAACAAAGATATGTAGGAGTACTACAGAGATATGTAGGAGTACTACAGAGGTATGGAGGAATAGTACAGAGGTATGTTTGAGTACTACAGAGGTATGAAGGAGCAGTTAAGAGATATGTAGGAGTACTACAGAGGTATGTAGGAGTAGTACAGAGATATGTAGGAGTACTACAGAGGTACGAAGGAGCAGTTCAGAGATATGTAGGAGTACTACAGAGGTATGAAGGAGTAGAACAGAGATATGTAGGAGTACTACAGAGGTAGGAAGGATCACTTCAAAGATATGTAGGAGTACTACAGAGGTATGAAGGAGTAGAACAGAGATATGTTTGAGTACTACAGAGGTATGAAGGAGTAGTGCAGAGATATGTAGGAGTACTACAGAGGTATGAAGGATCAGTTCAGAGATATGTAGGAGTACTACAGAGGTGTGAAGGAGTAGTGCGGAGATATGTAGGAGTGCTACAGAGGTATGAAGGAGTAGAACAGAGATATGTTTGAGTAATATACAGACTACAAGTGGTATGAAGGAGTAGAACAGCGATATCTTTGAGTACTACAGAGGTATGAAGGAGTAGTACAGAGGTATGTTTGAGTAATACAGAGATATGAAGGATTACTACAGAGGTATGTTTGAGTACTACAGAGGTATGAAGGAGCAGAACAGAGATATGTAGGAGTACTACAGAGGTATGTAGGAGTAGTACAGAGGTATGTAGGAGTACTACAGATTTATGAAGGAGAAGATCAACATTAAAAAGAGTAATTTAAAACAAATTTGTATTAAAAGTAACAGTAAGACAATAAAAGTTAGCTGATATTCTTTATAGATCAAAAGAAAGAAAGTAGAAACTCTGGTTCTTAAGAACATAGAGGGTACAGAGATAAAGAGGTATCACTTTAACAGTCCCGTAGTCGTACACTAACAATGAAAAAGTAAATTTTTCTTAAATGAATAACTTTTTCTTTTAAATCGAGAATTGAAAGTGTCAAAATTTAAAAAGTTGAAAAAATTAATCAATTATTTTGACTCTGTACATTTTCTCCGCTGTGTCAGAGAATTTTTAAGTTAACTCTTTTCCCAAACTTTTTCAGAGTTAGTTAATTAATGATGTACCGAGACTTGGACAAGTTTCTTAATATCTGTGCAAAAATGGCTATTTTTAAAATTTCAGAGGAAATTGATTTTTTTGAAAATGATTAAAAAGGTGAGTGTACAATGGTCATATGTGAATACTATGTACTCATTATGCAGACATCAAAAATGGGTATCCATTTTAATAACCTAACTCTAAAGATTGTTAAAGTAAACTCAAGTAGCAGAATGACGAGTAAAAGTGGACAAAAATGTGTACTAATGAGTCCCTGGCCGCTTTATAATCATTTTTCATTCATTACGACGAACACTGTCTAATCATACCTTCCATCCTTTCCCATGGACCCTCTTAATAAGGGAGGGGGCGTATAGAGGGGACTACCCTTATCGTCTAACCCCCCCCCTTCTTCCCTAAAACCATCCCTTCAAGTCCCATATTAATTTTAACGACCTTAACCTTGGGAAAAAGACGAGTGAAAATAAAGAGTAATGACCGCGATGAAAAAGTTTATGTACATTGTACACAGTTGTAGGATGATTCAAAGGTTAAAAGCTTTCACTAAAAATCTACTGAGTTTTTTGCTAATTTCACTTTTTAACAACTTAATCTAAGAAAAACGCTTTATTGTCTAAAATGCACATTTCTAAGGCTACAAAAATGTAAAGTTGACTTAAATAAGGAAAAATGAAAGACCAAGGCGTTGAAACACTTCAAAGTTAATCCATATCGTGAAAAGTAATGCAGCAGCTCTGGATGAATGTGTACTCTGTACAATTTACACACTATACAACGTACACATTGTACAATGTACAAATATGACCACCATTATAAAATCCCAAGATTTATTAAAATCTTTTGAATCACACTATCTAAAACTATATTTAGGGTTTTAATGATTTTCTAATTACCTGTCAGTGTCTGTCAGCGTAAATATGCCTGATTCACAACGATACTCTATAAACCTTTAAATCATCAAAAATGTGGAAGATATTGTCGTTTTTCTAGCTTGAAGTGCTTAATTCTGACAATTTTAATTTTCATTTGTTTCTAAAGCAGAGATCCGCAGGTCACTTTTATAGAAAAATACAACTGAAAATAATCACTTTTGAACTTTAAAAACATGGGTACCTTGTCAATTCTCGATCAGTAAAGCCATGAACTTTGAAAATTTAAAAATACTCTAGGAAGGTAAAATAAAATCTTTAAAAATGGTTGATTTTGCAAAAATTTATCATATTTGTTTTAAATTTCGCACTGTCCCTTTAAGTAAAGATAAATGTGCCGCCAGAGAAAATACTTAAAGGAAAAGTTTGAGAAAAGAAAATAATTTATAATTCCCAACTTGTTGCTAGCTTAAGAGGATTAAGTAATTAGTGGCTGAGATAGGAGGGGAGAGAACTAGAAACTAAAGAATTAGGGGAGATGTTTTCAGTCGAGAAAAGTCGTCTCCGCCCTCAACATATGAGCTTCCCTAGTTTTACATTTTTTTACAATGTTAAAAGCACCTTTTTTGGTCAAAACAAACAAAATTGAAGAAATTTGAAAAAATTTAAATTTAAAAAGTTGTGGTATTTGAAATGTTACCAAAACTTGTCTGTCGACGTCGTAGGTGAAATTCACTGTACGTACAATACATCTGTAAGATAGATGAATTATAAACAAAAACGGAAACGAATTCAAGTAGAAGGAATATTGTGCAACTGAAAAAAATAAAGACTGATGGGAACCATTGTTAGTAAATATAAAAAAAACAGCTGAAGTGCCCGGTGTGATAAAAAAAAATAAAAAATAAAAAATATTTTTGAAAACTTCCTCAAAAATTTCAGTCAATTTGGTCCAGCCGTTTGGCCAGTTATAGAGCTAACATACATATATACAAATATACTGCTGCTGAAGAATGTCCAACAAGAAACACAGTGTCCAGCAATATATCCAATCTTAATAAACAATAGAACATGTTCTAGACTTATTTAAAGAAGATATATACAAATATACAAATATATATGTATGAGCGAAGAGCTTTATTATTAAAGTAATAAATGGAATGCCGAGAGCCTGCATAAGTATAGGCTTTAAAATACATCAAACACACATAAGTTTGATTAATTGTCGTCTTCCTATTCCACAGTTTGGGTTTCACTGTAGTTTGGGTTTCATTGCTATAGGTTTTCTTTAAAAACATCTGAAAAATATGAAACGCAAAGACGACACTCCGTTTTGGAAACCTTCTTGTTACATCTTAACATTTCTATTTTCCCAAAATATTGTTTTCTTTTACCGAGGGAAACCTTAATTGTCATTGTTTACTTTGCTGAGGGAATATCATCATTATCTTTTTACATTATTACAAGATGAACAAGAATAAAGTCAATCTACGGCCCCGCCATTGTTTTTCTCAGTATTTCTAGTTTTTCATCTTTTCTAATCTTTGATATAATAGATGTTGAACATGCTCCTAACAATAGAATAATAATTGTTAATGTTTATAATGTCTTTTCCACAATCGTATCAAAATAAAGAAAATTACACGTAAGATTATAATTATATAAGGTGTCTCTAAAATTATAAGATTATAATTAAACAAGGTGTCTCTAAAATTATAAGATTATAATTGTACAAGGTGTCTCTAAAATTATAAGATTATAATTAAACAAGGTGTCTCTAAAATTATAAGATTATAATTGTACAAGGTGTCTCTAAAATTATAAGATTATAATTGTACAAGGTGTACCAACAAGTGTTTCTATACAGGTACAAAGCCAGTAAACAGTTTGCTCTAAAGAACCGTGCCGTTTTAACCTTCAAAAGTCGGACTAATATTCGAAAATGTTCTTGGTCTCTTTTCTAAAGATTTTCAACAAAAAATTAGACACAATTTGTTTTACATTTTTTACAACATTTGTAGTACATTTTGAAGGTTTAAATGACATTTTAGAGCAACATTTTTCATCGACCACCCCCCCCTCCCCTACACGAACATTTTACTTGTCATAGGCACTTTATAGTACATTGAAAAACGACCTATGGTAGTGGATGGAAAAGCTAAATATTGACATTCTTCGGAAAACTAGTGCGTACAATTAAACTAGTGCGTACAATTAAACTAGTGCGTACAATTAAACTTGTGCGTACAATTGAACTAGTGCGTACAATTAAACTAGTGCGTACAATTGAAATAGTGCGTACAATTAAACTAGTGCGTACAATTAAACTAGTGCGTACAACTAAACTAGTGCGTACAATTGAACTAGTGCGTACAATTAAACTAGTGCGTACAATTGAACTAGTGCGTACAATTGAACTAGTGCGTACAATTGAACTAATTTCTATCATCTATATATTTGTACATATCTATCAATTTATCTATATATCTATCTATTTATCTATCTATCTATCTATCTATGATGTCTTCTACTTTCTCTGTGTTTCTACGTATGTTCTGTAGAACAATAGGATGTAACTATAAGGGACGAACCAACCTACCTTCACAGATCTCTTATCAATTTAAACCTATTGCATACGTATCTGTTCCACAAAAAAACATTCCAAGAATCCCTAGGATGTCTGGATGTCTGTGAAAAAATGGATGTTTAAAAAAAATTAAATAGTTTTAAAAATAGATTTACTGTGAATTGTACACCTTTGTATAATGTTTCTCTGAATTGTACACCTTTGCATAATGTTGTCCTGAATTGTACACATTTGTATAATGTTTTCCTGAATTGTAAACCTTTGCATAATGTTTTTTTCTGAACTGTGCACCTTCGTATAATTTTTTCCTGAATGCACACCTTTATGTAATGTTTTCCTAAACTGTACACCTTTTTATAATGTTTTCCTGAACTGTACATCTTTTTATAATGTTTTCCTGAATCGTACGCCTTTCTATATTGTTTTCCTGCATTATACACTTAATATTTTCCTGAATTGCACATCTTTTTGAAATGTTTTCCTGAATTGTACACCTTTGTATAATGTTTTCCTGAATTGTACACCTTTGTTTAATGTTTTCGCTGAACTGTTCACTTTTGTATAATGTTTTCTCTGAATTGTACACCTTTGCATAATGTTTTCTCTGAATTGTACACCTTTGTTTAATATTTTCTCTGAATTGTACACCTTTTTATAATGTTTTCTCTGAATTTGTACACCTTTGTATAATGTTTGTTAAAGTGAGGATAAGACACAATGATATCTAAGGTATGTCCGGGTCTAGTGGAATCTTCTGATCAATATCCTAGATTAGAAACCCTGGGACAAATATTCAATTTCAAATCCGCCAGTTTCTAGTCTCTCGGTCTCTAAAACTGTCTCTGTGGATTAAAGATCCCCTAAAACGACCGATTTCTCCTAAAGAATGGAAAGGTAGGACAGGACAATGGATTGAAAATGACCAAAAATGTTTCTGAAAAACCATGGAATATCAATTAGCTGTAAGAGAAAGGCTCTAAAAAGGTTAAACACAATAAACCAACCAAGCACATATTTTTAAATGAGCTAACGCTATTCAGAATAGTGATGTGCTTTCAGATGGGTCGTTTTTGTCTGTTTTTCGTTTCACTGTCAAAAAGTGGGATAAT